TCTCACCTTCAGAATTAAAAAGATGACTATAAGATATGGCTTTTTTCATGGAACCAATGAAATTCATCATTTCTGAGCTAGTTTATTTACCTGCCACTGGTAGAGCTAACTAGCTTAGTGGTTGCTGGTAGACCTTACAGGTAGCTTCTCATAAAAATGAGAGAGAACAGGTAATTATTAAAGATCTATCTAAATAAGCACTTCCAAAAGTGGAAAAGGCTAAGGCAATCATGCCAGGTTACTTCTTTTAAATTCAAAGATGACTCATGGCATTTCCCTTTTTTGTTTATTTTATTTTACTTTACATTATTTTATTTTATTTTATTTTATTTCTGTTCTAGGGACTGACCCCAGGAACTCATATCCTGGACAAGTGCTCTACCAGTTCTACTGCCCCAACTGAACCACTCTTTTAAGTAAAATGGTGGGAAGAATGATCGAAAGAGAGAACCAGATATGTTAGTCAGGAAAACTTATATGAAAGTAGAAGTAGCAGAAAGAAGCTGCTCTTCTTGTCACTATTCTGGGCTCATTTGAAGCAGTTACATCATCTTAGCTATTGGAACAAGAAATGAGTTCATATATGGAACACAGATTGAGAGAAAATAATGAGTCTGAGAGACTGGACATTATTAAGTAAAATAGAAATACATTTGTTGTAAAAATGGGAGGGAAGGAGTGGTGATGAAAAGAAGCGTGGGAAAGTGTTTATGAAATAAAATTTTTTAATTGATAGGGTATGTCCAGGACAGGCTGAGAGGTTTTCACTTTTGTTAATCTCGTGGGGGCTACAGGGACACTGGGGAAGGGAAAAGAAATGGACTGAATATGGATATATATGACTATCCCAAGATGAATATACTTACTATGTATCACAAACATATGCTAATAATTTTTTTTTTTAAAAATGAGCTGAGCCCAGCTGCTCTATTAACTTCTTAAAATATTTGCTTGTGATAACTGAAAAAGAAAACCTGGCCCAAAGATACTAATAGGCACTAATGAGTATATTTTCTGCTCAGTGTTCCTGAGTTCAAATGTACTATTTTCAAAATACTGCTTTTTCCTGCTTTCTGCTGCCTGTTGGGATATGAAATCCCATTTGTTAATGTGATACAGCCATTGTGCACATACCCCTTGTCTGTCCTCACCTTCCAAGAGACAAATGATTCAGAGATGAGTAGTACCTTCAGTAAGCTTTATACAATAAAAGAAGAGAAATGGGAGCCAAATGGTTTACCAAAATGGACAATTCTGATTACTTCACAAGCATTTTTAACCTTGACATTTTTAATTTAGTTGTTGGTTACTTCAGCATTCTTAGACCAAGAGTGCAGGTAAGTGCCCTTCCATGAGTCTGATGAATTTAGCTCCTGTTATTTTCTTTACAGAGAGAAGGAGAATATAATTAACTTAGTACAACCCATGCTTTGCTTCAGGTGTTGTAATGATAATGGACACTACTGAAGATCAAAAGTGTCATTCCTCAGTGACCATCAGGAGTCTAATTCTAGTCATCCTATTTCTGATAATATTAATGTAGAAAATTAAGAAGAAGAACTCATTAAGCTTATTGAAAACTCAGCAACAGTCAATAATGCAATGTGCTAACTCATCAAGATTCTTTATTCTGGTAAGTATAGTTAAGCATTCCATCACTTAACTTATATATAATTGGATTTATTGTAGCGTTTCCTAGGGACAATGAAAATGAACTTTTTATAAAATAAGATCAAATCAATTACCAAGTACTTTTGTGATTTTCATACCAAATAGAATTCTTCAGCTTAGAAATATTAACTGTTGTCAAAGCAAAGAAAATTGTCTTTCATGAACAGAATATTATCAAAGTTCCTAAGATTGTCAGTTAGCCTCAAATCACACTCTGTGCTGACTCTTCACGTTCCCCTCCAAAATGAATGAAAGCTAAATGTGTATTTACAAATGGATAAAATGGAAGAGACAGTAAAGAGGAACTGGAGGAACAAAATAAGGAATAAATAGATGAGTTGTAGAAATTGAATAAATGAAATATTTTCATCAAATAATACCTGGCTTACTGGCTTCTCTGTGTAATATGTATGGAAATAACACATTAATTATCTTTTTTGATTGATTTCTGTCCCTTGCCCCAATTTTTAAATGATGCAAACATGCTAGTCAACACAAACTACCTAAAGCTTTTCTGAAAAGAAGGAGAAGGGATTTTTTTTACAAGTAAAAGTGTCTTGTAAAACAGCAATTTACATATAGTGATTATCTTGTTGTTTTTGCTTGTTCATAGATATTTGCCAATTAGAGCACTTGTACAAAATGGGATATTTCATATGAATGTTCATATTTTTAGTGTTACCACAGAGTATGGCATATGGTAGTCGTGTATTAAATAGTTTTGGTACCCTTTTATTATTTACCTGCTTTTTTTTAACATCACAGTTCACAAGATTCATTTGCATTTTTGTTTTTGTTTGGTGTTTTTTGTTTGTTTTCCTTTTGTCAGTTTGGATGGATTTATGTTGTGGAATTAGTTAGCTCTCTTTCAACATTTCAATATTATGACACAATCACAAACATTTTTATGAAGTCATTCTGTATTAATTTATGTACCTAATTTGCCATAAATCCTAATTGTCACTTCAATATTTCATAAACAAACTTCAAATTTTTAAAGATGAAGTTCACAAGGGGTGATAAGGAATAAGTGAATCTCATTTAAAAATTTGTGTGCTAATTTTTGATGAAATTAAAGCCTTCCTTTGTTTATACAAAAAAAGTAATTTTGTTCGGAAAGAAATGAAGCTGCCTTGGAAATATCCACAACCTCATAGAACTAATGCATGGATATATCTATTAAATCTAAAAGAGGCCCTTGAAATAAGGGAATGAAATATTTAAATATCACCATCTGCCAGTAGACAAGATAATGGTAATATGTGTTTGTGCCACAAAAAACACTACATAAGAACTTGTCAAAGGATACTTTTTCAAGTTAATTACAAAATTATGACTTCTAATAATGTGAAGACCAAAGTAATTAGCTTTGAGCATGGTGACTAGATTGGGTGAATTTTAATAATATGCTGAATAATAAAAATTTGCAAATAGAGTTTTTTAAATAGAGCTCAAAGTTAAGAAGAAAGGGTTGGGAATATAGCTCAGCAGCATAAGCACTTACCTGGCAAGTGCAATGTCCTGAGTTCGATTGTTGGTCCAAAAAAAAAAAAAAAAGTTAAGAGTGAATAAAAAATCTTGAATTGATCATGGAGGCTTACTTGAGTAAAAGCGTAATATTTAGTATTGCTTTCCAGACAGAATAAGAAGTTCATAAAATTTGGAAAACCAGCCCTTGGCAAAAATTTGAGAGATATACAAAGACTGAAGAATCTCTTCAGAGAGACAAGAGACTCCTAAGAGTTCTACATTTTGATTTTTATGGCTGGACTTATTAAGACAGCAAGATGGAGGTATAAAATTTTCTTATTTTGAAAGATTTACTACCACACACACAGAGTCTGACACACATCTGCTATATTCCTGTATTCACAAGTACCTATGCATGGAAATGTGCATTTAGGTTCCAAAGCAATTACTCAAGTAAATTTTCATATATATATATATAATATAAATGTATATTTATCTATCATATATATGTGTATATATATATGTATATACATATATGTACAAGTAAATGAGTTTTTCATATGCTTATAGGACCTCTAAGAGAAAACAACGTATAAGTCCCATGATATTTTGCTTCTTGCTCCCCTTTTCCAATAAGTTTTCCAAGGGAAATTTTTAATGAAATTAGTACTAGGTGCAAAACAACAATGGGTTTCCCACACAGTGAGAAATTCCAAAGAGTGAGCCAAAAAATGTCAAAATTATATCTGATGCCAGTGTAAAATCTTATGTATTCATTTTGCTCATCTTTGTGGTAGTATATCTCAATAACATTTATTGTAAACATTGATTTCTGTAATCACAATTTGCTAAAAACTAAATAAATGAAATTTTAATGCTGTATTTAAAAACGTGTGCTTAAATATTTCAAATAGGCATTAAACATTATTGGACTACAATTTAAAAAGTTTAACATGGGAGTTCAATACCATTATAGAATAGTTATTCTGATTTTATATGTATCTTTTGAAAGAGTCTAACATTTAAAGCCGAATTAATGATGAACAGCAGAGAAAGTGTAAAGCGCTGTACTGGAGTACTTTCTAACACTGAACATCAGCTTTGTTACAAAAATTTGTATTTCCGTAAGCGGCAATGCATAAAAACTACTATAGATTGTATTTTGAGTTTAGAATAACTGAATTTTTTTATGTTTATAGATGATGCTTGCAGTACAACATATTCCAAATTACTTCAAACTAGTTTCTTAAACGCTGTTTTCAAATCACAAATATTTGCCTTACCAAAATTTTTATTTTTAGTAGAATATAAATTTCAACCTCTATTATGGTTTAAAGTGTCCCCAAAAGACTCACGTACTGGGGGTTCGATCACCAAGGCAGCAAATATACCTAGAGGTGATTGGATCATGAGACTATTAACGTCATCAATGGATTAATCCACTGATGAAATAATTAGTTTAACTGTGTGTTAGGAGGTAGGGCCCTATTGAGGAAGTAGATTGTAGCGGGGACGTGAGTTTGAAGGCCATTTACTCTGTACCTTTCCCCTTCCTTTTTGTTTCCCAGCCATGCGAGCTGAACTCTCCTCCACTAGGTCCACCCACCATGATGTTTCTCCCCTCAAGCCAGCTGACCATGGAATTAAATCTCTAAAACAGTACGTTAAAATAAAGCTACCCTCCTTTAAGTTGTGCAGGTCAATCACTTTGTCTCACCAATGAAAATGTGACTAATACAAACTTTAATACTTTTAAAATTTCTTATAATAATGCTCTAAATAATCCCTGATGTTACATTTTTGAAAAAACTTTATTTTAACTGTATATATGCAATACAAAAAAAAAAAAAAATCAAACCATTTTTTTTTTTTTTTTCCAAATCATTCTTCACAAGTAGCATTACAGACTTTCTTTTTGGAGAATCTCACAGCACCTATAATGAAAACTGGCATTTATCAATTTGCCACATTCTTTCTTTGTAAATGAAACCAACACATTTAATAACTGTACTTACAACTTCTATATGTATAGAGAAAAACTTAAAAGTGAAAATGAATGAACATAATTTCACAACAGAGACCCTATTTAATTAAAATATGCAGGTACTTGTGTGGGTGTGAAATCATCTTTCTGTAGAGTTAGCCTTCTTAAATTAGCTTTTTAAGTAAACATCTATACCTTTACAGGTTTTTTCTAATACTATGCAGTGAGTGATATTATTAAATTTCTTATTATATATGAAATGAGCTTTCTTCAAATTAAATATTTAATATGCACTTAAAAAATAAACATATTCTCTTATTGTACAATGATAAAGTCAATAGAGGTTTACCACAAGATAGAGTAAATCACTAAATCCAAAATATTTCAACCACACTTTGACTTCTAGCCCTCGTTCTCAGCCCCAAATTATGCACAAATTTCTCTTGCACCTACCTTACTATTCCAATTCTCCATCTTTATCTGCTGTCTCTGGGCAGGATCCACCGCCTATCAAAGAGTGGGAAGAGGGAGAACAACTGCTGTGAAAGTGGTCAGCCTTGCTAGGGAAGTGCATTTTATCACTGACACTGTCTAGAATCTCTGGAGAATGATTATGAGCAGGAAAATGAAAAGTGAACCAACTTTCCTTCAGCTTTCTTATTGTTTTCAGAGTCTGTTCAGGTAATGCACCCTTTTATTGTCTGCACTGGGATGGTCTCTTTTATCTATATCGCTACCATCCCATGATACCCTGCTACATGTTACAAATCAAAGTGCTGACCACAGGCCAGGTGGACATTGTAGATAGTGGTATTCAGGGACAGAGATTTTGAGGACTTGCCCCACCATTATGCAATGTAACAAAAAGTTTTCTTGCCCACTACTGTTAAAAAACTCTGAATCTGTATTTAGGATAAAGGTGTTTATCTGAGTGTACACCAGAAAAGGTTAAATGAAGAAAGTTGAGTTTTCACTGATTTGATCTTTTCACTAGTGTTTTATATTTAGCTACCTGAAAACTGTATTCAGTACATATTCTTCTCCTGGTTCTAGAATGGTCCTTGGCAAAGCATGGAAGCATACAATGGACATAGGCAAAACCCCTTTAGATTTTTTTGTGCAAGAGCTTTGGCATTACTGCACTTCTTTAAATAGATGAAAAATCTGTGTAAAATCCAAATACAGAAGACATGACTCTAGATCCACATTTTAGTTTAAAAATAATTAGGAAATGAACACGTTCAGAAAGATATGCTGTTTGTGTGACCATGAACCTCTAGATAACAGGATCACAAGTAGTCAAGATAACCACAAGAATAAAAACAACTTGGTTTTATTGTTGTTCTGTCTGAAAATTAGTCCTAGTAATGATTCTACACTCCTACATTCAGTAAATGAACAAAGACCTAGGATTGATAGGTTCTAATCTCCACCATACTGCAAAAACTCTGAACTGACAAGACAAAAATTTCATTAAACAGATCAATCACTTCCCCTTGTGCAGTTTGGGGACTTTTCCCTTTGTAAGCGTATTTTTGGCATTAGTCAGAGACATTCTTCCAAAAAAGTTTCTCTCCTGTTATCTATTTATCCATCACATTTATGTCCATCAGTCTATCTCCTATCTTACACACTACACTACTTTTAAAATTATTTGGCAACCTGAAAGCCTTTCTTCAGTCCTTTAACATTCTCTGAATGTGTACTTCAAGAGTTACTGATTTAAGTAGTAATGAACTAAGATTAACTCTCACTCGGTCTCTTTCCCTGGGAAAGCTGGACTCTTAGTCCAGAGTGATCACTGTCCCCCTAGAGTTCATAGCCTGAGTCAATTCTGTTCATCCTATATTTGAATTGTGCCTGTCTGTAAATGTCAGTACATCTTCTCATTTGATTTAAATATTGGAAGATAACTGCTGTTCTGAAACAATCACAGAACAAGAGATATAATGATTCCTGAAATATTTAAAATATTTCATTATATTTTCACTTTTTGAGCAAGACTGACTCTAAAAATTCCCTGTTGATGATGAAGCAAAATCAAAGAAGGTTATATGAAATGATGATTGCAAAAGCAGTTTATTTCCCCTCACCAAGTCCCCTTTCCTTGTCTTTCCTTTATATTAAAACTTAGATTTCATGCCATTTTAATTTACTTATGTCTTAATTTTTATTTGAGGTTAGCATCTCACTCTTAATCCATTAGCAGGTGAAATGAAATTCAGATCATTATTGAGTTGCTTAAGGGACATTTTATGTTCTTTAACAGCACATGTGTCTGTATTTATTTTCAGCATAAGGAAGACAAATCTGTATAATTGGTAGACAAAATCTGTATAGTTTTGTTCACAATTAAGTGAATGGTGTACAATGATATTGTTTAATATATTAGAATTTTGGACAGAAGAATGAAAATAAATATTTAGGCCAATGTCAGCAAATACTCAATGATCAGGACTCCTTAATGGTATTGAGCGTCTCACTCTCTGGGGAGGTGATAGAAGCTCTCATTTACAGACTCTGCAGCTTGACTGATAAGCCATCAGACAATATGCTTTGGGGAATAATCTGCACTGCCAAGTAAAATAAGATGGACTGAAATTAAGAAGGCCAAATACATTTATGGTACAGTACTGTTTCTAAGCTATAACTTTATATATAAAATTAAGCTATCATTCACTTTTCTGAATGATAGCAAAACCATCAAACTAAAATTACTTCTGTAAGCATATGTGAATTAAAAGCTCAGTAAGATAATCTTTTTTTTGGCATTACCAGTTTATATTTTTGTTATCTTCAATATTTTGACATCTCATTCACTGTTAATTTCCACATTCTCAGCTAAAGAGATACCCAGGAAAAAAAAAGAGATACCCAGTGCTGGAAAACCTCCACATTTGTAGGAAGGGGACTTGAAAATCCTGATCCAAGTCAATTAAAAATGTACCACAGGTTAATCATTAATATTTTCAGTCACATAAATAATAGCATCTTCAATCAATTATTTTTTAATGCAGTGCATGATTTACAACTTAGGTGAAGATTTCCAGCACTTTGTGGATCTCAGCAAAAGATCCTCAATTGTATTACTTAACTATGAAAAAAAAGAAATGTCCAGTACCATAATATAAAAGGAGGTTGTTTTCTTTCTGAAGAAAGACTTTTTGAGATTCCAGGCTAGATGTATGTAAGAACAGGCAACATACACTTTTGTAGAATTCTATTATTCCTTTGACACACAAGGAGGAAATATACTAAAAACGGTTTCTGCAAAGTAGAGAATATATGCATCTCAAGATTTTGCTTTGAAAAATGTCTTTGTTTGGCTTGAGACCAACGTTCCCATGAAATATGTTTGACTTTGCTGTCAGATTTCTCATCACCCAGGCTTTTGCCTGGAATGTGAATAGGAAAAAACCAAATAAAACAAAAGAAGAATCATATGGGCCTCGTTATTTTTTTTTATTTTGTAAGACAGTTTATCATGGAAGAGTATAAACTATTTTTAATAAAGAAGACTCCATGGTAAGCTTTCCTGAAAATTAGCTAAGAAGTGTTCAAGCACTTGTGTTACCTTTTTCAACAGAAGTTTAGCAAGCATATGAGAAGATTGTTAACATAAAGTCAGTTTAGTGTACAATCATGTTTTATAAAAATAGCCAAAATCAATAACAGGATAAGCTGCTCATTGTTATTCAGAATATGCTTCTATAAACTGACAATTATAAGCTAAAAGAGCTAACACCAAAACTGAAAACTTTAATTGAGCTTCACTAGGGAATGATATCATGTTAATTATTATCCTATATGAGACGATCGAAATATACAGTGCATGTTTAAATTTTTTAGAAAATTACAGTAAAACACATTAGAATTAATTCTCAAAATGCTACCCTTGGCTCTGAATACACTTCTGTCATTGTTCTGGACACTTTCTGAAGCAGTTCTGCAAGTCCTCTTTTTGTGAAAGTCTTTAAAAGATTTGTCAAAAATATGCTGAATGTTGCTATTATGTGCCATCCGACAGAGGGGCAGCCACGGAAAGATATTACATTGGGCCCTTCTCCACCTTGTTCCGTGGGTGTGGCACCATTTGATGTCTGACTCCGTGACATCATGAAAATGACCGGGGAAGGTAAACATTCAGGAGGCAGCCACAACTGTGCAACTAATGTCAGTCATGATGGAGACCTAGAAGTGCTTCAGAAAGTACCAAGAACATTGAGATAAATGTGTTGAAGTGCGGGAGAGTATTTTCAACTGGGTTAACGGCGATGTGCTTTTTCCCCATAAACTCTTAACTTTTTAAATATTCACCATATTTTTCATTCATATCTTATATATGGAACTCTTTCATTTTTCTAAACATTCTTTACATTAATAAGTAAAATAAAATTGTGCTGAATATGAAAGAAAATATGAATGTGAAGCAGCCTTTTGTGGAAGTAAGAGAACTTTTTATAAGTATAGTACCAATTGAAACTGACAGATCAATGATATTGATTTCACAATAATTTTACTTATTAGTTATGAATTTAAACATTCTATATTATATTCCAATAAAATGCAAATTGTGAGGATAATTGTAATAAACTAGATTATATTTATAAAAATTATAAATTATACACTGTGATATGTATATATGATCCTGTTATATAAACATCTGAGACCATACTTTTGTTGAAAAATTTGAAAGTCTTTTTTTTTCCCCCCCGGTACCTGGAGTCGAACTCATGACCTGGCACTTGCCAGGCAGGTGCTGTGCCACTGAGCTAAATCCCCAGCCCCAAGACTTGAAAATCTCTGTAGAAGAGAGGTTTGCATGGTTAAACTTCCCATTGATATAATCCATTTACTATGTTCCCTTGATCACACAGAATAATCCTCACTGTGTTTGTGGATAAATAGAGTTAAATATATTGGAAAATACTTCCATAATTCAGTGATCTGTTATACAATTATAGAATGCATTGCAGTCCTTTCTCCTCACCTCAAAAAGTTTGAGATGGGGTAGTGATTGATATGAGTTAAAAGTAGATAACAATTAAACCATAATCACTAAAATCATCAGGATTTATAAAAGAAATCTGTTTCTATGTAGAAACACAGTGAAATTTGAACTAAGACTGACTGGATTGTGCTGGAAGGCATATATTTTAAGAATTTATCCACATCTAAAGAATCAGCAGTTCCCAAAGGTCAGCTCTGACATACACATAAGATATATTTAGATCAAACTATGGAGTAAGTAATGTGCTCTGTTATACTTTAATCCCTTTATACATTCAAAGCCTGCATGTGTGTGGGGCCGAATTTACTCAAGTTTCACTTTATAGTGAGATTTCTCACTCAGTAGCATTAAGGTGAAAGTCCCAAAAGACAGCAACCAGCTAAGATAAGTTCATCTAAATGCAACCCACTCACTCAGGTTTAGATAATAGCCCCTGCCAAGATAATTTATGGTTTTCAACATTTGTTAGCATTGCTCACAAACCAGGCCTTAGCAACTGTGTTAAGTCGGGAGTTGACACAAGTGCAAACCAATTTGCACAGACTGAAAAAGGAGAGTCACAAAGAACTTTAATAATGTGAGTTTTATTTGAACTTTGCCATCAACCTGGTTTACAGAAGTTAATTTCTACCCTCAGTTTCCAAAGACAAAGATTAATCGACCCTCTTTATCTGAGGGCTCTTCGATTAGAAATGTGCTTTTCTCACCTGTATCTTCCATCATAGATGGTGCTTGCTCAATAAAAAGATGCGCTGCAAACCAGTGCTTCCATTTTTCAGAGGAGCAATATATGGCTACAGGTTACCGCTTTCGTAGAGCTATTACTTTTACTGTCAACGTGGCTGCTGCCCGAAGATGTCTCATTAGTAGAATAAATTGTACCAGACAAACTCAACGTCTGACCAGACATCCTCTCCCCGCAAAATATCTGCTGCACTGACAAAAACAAACAAACAGACAAACAAACAAACATTTCTGTGGTAAAACATTTTAAAAATGCTGATGGAGGATGGGACTTAACCTTGGTCAGACATTTTAAAAGAAACTGGAGAATAGGACTTAACCCAGCAAATATTGCTGAATGAGATCAACATAAAGGTAACAAGATCCCTAATTGTACTCTGAAAAGCATACAATGAACTCTTTAATATCTGGTCCATCATAACATGGGAGTCACAGAAAAGAGTTATTCAAAGATGTACAAACAAACCCAAATTCTATATTATAAAAGCTATGTTATAAAAGCTAGTTATTATGAAAGCTACATTATAAAAGCTAGGTAAATATATCATTTGTCTGTATCACAGAGCCAGTTAAATTTTTCATTCCTAAAGGAGCTTAATTGAATGCTTATGTGGAGTTAACACTAAAGTTTCAACTTGTGCTGTCATTTAAAATTAAGATGTTTAAGTTTCTGTTCTGATTTCTTATAGAGAAATGGCCAAATCTCTTAAAATGTTCAAAGACAATTATTAAATTTTATAAAACATTTAGAGCTTAAAAACTGTTCAATATTACATTTTTCTCATCAGTATTATCACTAAGTTCTACTGATCTTTAGGAATATGGACAAGCAGTGACCCAACAGGTACCTCTATCTTATCAAGTTCATATCTTTTTACTTTTTAATATATTAGTTGCACAAGTAATTTTATTTGACATGTATATCTCCATAGCTTAGCCTCACATGTGTTCCTCTTCAAGAGTTTAAGGTTAAGTGTATTTAGTGTAATTCTTTGTGGTAGTCAATACATACATGGTGTCAGTTTAATTGCTTCTGGCCAAAATGTATGTTGGAATCCTAACTAATATATGTAAGATGAGTTTATTTGAAAGCAGCGACTAGGCAGAAAACCATGTGCTGATGGAGGATGAGATCAGAATTATGCCGTTGCTTGCAAAGGGATGGTAAGAATTGCAAGTGAGGCTGGAAACAGTGGACAGATGTGGAGCCTTGCAAAGAGTGCAATCCTGCACCAGCTTGATTTTGCATGTCTGGCTTCACAATGATGAGATAATAAATTTCCAGGGAATTTGTTTTTGCTGACCCACTTTTGACACTTTGTTACAGCAGATTTGGGACACTAATACAGCTAGCTAGAGAAAATAAAATTGTGTTTAAAATAATATTGTGAACTTAAACATTCTTCATTTCTCTTTTCTTCCCTTAATGATGGTGTTAAAATTTTCCTATCCAATGGTAATAAACTGTTGCTACCTTCCCGAAACCACCTCAACAGTGTAAGAGCCAAGCCATGTGTTATAATTAATGCAATAATCTGGTTCTTATTCTAAAATAGAAAACTTAACCCCAAAATAAACTTTTAAGTAAAAACTCTTAGTAAAAGTTTAACATTTCAGAAACTGACACATCATTGTCAGTTCAGTATTTCAAGAGTCAAGTGTGTTTGCTTAAGACTAAAGAATCAACATATTTTTTACCAGGCAGGGTTTTAAACCATAAAATTCACATACCATTTAAGCAAACTACTAAACTAAATATGCCGTTATAGTCAGATTTGGTGAAAGTTGAAATTCTGTTGTATAATCTCATATCTAGTGGCAAGCTAGGACAGGTCAATTAGATAAAAATAGATTATAGAGGGGATTCAGTGTGACAGTATAGTTACACAAATTGGGCTAAAACAAAAGCAGAACATAGAAAATGCTGTGAATATATTTTCCCTGTGTTATTGAGCAGTAGACTTATACTATATAATTCTGAATACTACTGCTGGATAATCTTTAGATTACCTTTACTTCTTAATTCCTCTCATAGTTGAAATGGATAATATTCTCAGTCTAAACTTACAGAAGGAGAAAAGACTTAGGAAGTGAAGAGAACCTTACTATACAGAGAATATTTTTTCAATTTTCCATCACTTACAAACCAGCAAGCCAATCTTAGTCTTACTGAGCGCAGACTTTCAACAGGTAAAGTCATCTGAAATTTCTCTGATCAAGTCCCTCTAATATTATGGTATGATTTATACTGTAGCTTCATATATTAATTTATTCTCTTGTTTTTCCAAGTAGGTCATCAGATTCCTTCACTCTTCTTTCTATTACAGTTACTTCTGCTTCCGTCTTGTGTTTCTTTAATTTCCTGCTAACACTATCAGCATAATTAATATGAGAAATAATGTAAACACATCTTGATAGGTACTTTGTAATGCGTATTTGCCAAAATTTTGAAAATTTTAAGATTATTTTGGTACCTTTTTTATTTTTTCATTTATCCCTGTTCTCTGCATTTATATTTGTTTCCTGATTTTGGAAGTATTTGATGTCCTTGCTATTTCTAACTCCTACAACTTAATTTGTGTGATAGTTCCATTATTTGCCACTTTGTTTTTTCTTTTTGCCTCAGACAGGAGCCTTACTCACAGAAGTATTTCATTGCAATCTGTGAATAATTGCTTGGGGAAAGTTCTAGAGCCTAATTAAATTTGACATTGATTGCTTTGTGACAGTGTGCATTGCTGTAAATGAAAGAGAGCCTCTCACAGAATACTTGAGGTTTCTTAACAGTGATTCAGAGCCCTGAGAACCACATTATGGTCTTTTCTATAGAGTAAGATACATAATATAGAGAAAAAATGAGACAGAGAAGGAGAAATAACCCTAATTGTGTGGCAATGTGTTGAAATGAAACACTTTATATAAATGTAAATTACATAAATCTTTATATTTATATTATATTCCAAATTAGTCATTCAACAAACATGTATAGAAAAAAACCTTCATAATCCAAACACTTGTCTTAGTGAACTAAATGTAGAGAGATGTATAAACTTTCAGTCTGAGTTTATTTTGTGACAAACTGATACATGTATATGCAACAAAATGAACTCTATTGAAGATAAACTGGGAAGAACACTGACTATAAACACAATAATGTTCAGAAAGTGAGACTGTCAACTGTTGGCATGAGCAGAGTGGGAGGTAAGAGGTGATATGAACCTTCCTACAACTGACAGCTACAAAAACCAAATTATTTCAAAAAACACTAGAAAACATCTAATCACAGACCAAGGACATTTTACTTTTGAAAAATTACAAATAGAAGAAGTGAGACTTGTGAGCCTGCTATGGTTATAACTGTAGAAAATAATGGTCATGCTACAAGTTGAATATATAAGATAAACATCAAAATTAGACTAAAAAATCAGTAGAGTATAAACTCTGCTTAGATCTAAGAATTAAAGCTAAATTTTGTAGACACAAAGGAGATTCTAATATGTCTAGTTACAAATTTAGAAACAGTAAATTATCTTCTCCTAATTTTATAAATGTCAGAGTAAGTTATTATTGTAAGATGTATACATGACCTATAACTTGTGAATTTGCCATTTTTAAAAGTTTTTTTAAAGTAGAATATATTTACCATGCTTATGGTGTGTGGAGATAAGGATGCTGAGGCTGCAGGGACTTGACATCACAGAAGATGCCCACAGATTAGCCAAACAGCTATAGATTTGGAAATCCTATAATTGAAAAAGGCACCGAGAGAAAAAGGGCTGAGTTATAAGTAAAATATCTGCTAAAATCTCTTAACTTTCCACCAAATTTTACAATCCTGGGATTGATAACATCAGCCATAGAAACTGATAAATGTAAAGTAAATATAAGAAATTCTATAACATGCAAAACACAAAGTTTATAATTTGTTTCTGAGCAAGTTTCTTACCTAACAGAATACTGATTAAAAAATAAAAACAAATCATTAAAAAATGGCAAGATAGACTTTTTTTTTTTTTTTTTTTGGTACCAAGAATAGAACTCAGGACCTTGCCCTTGCCAGGCAGTTGCTTATGCCACTGAGCTATATCCCCGGCTCCAGGATAGACTCTTATGTGTTGACAATCAAAGTCACTTTCCTTGTCCTTCTGTTAGGACATTCCACCTACCAGGAAATGTACCACAAAGAGATAACTGAAGAAGCTGAACCAGTTATCGGCTCATAACGTACAAAACACCAGAGCTATGATCTGTACCACAGGCATCCAAATTGTCCCCAAAGAGAAAGAAAACATTTCTATGTTACCAGAAATGAATATGAATATGCACTCATACATATTCTTACAATAATATAGTTTTCAAATATGTACATATATAGTAAATATCTACTGTAAGAATATATATATTTACAAAGAGATGAAACACTGCCATGTTGTTAAAACTCTGGTTTAAGTGGAATTTGAAGAATATTTTTCAACTATTTACTGTTCATTTAAATTCACTGTTCTGTAGACTGCTAGTATTTGCCTTTTGCCCCTTTGGAGATTAATTTTTGTTGTTATTTATTTAAATTTTACTAACACTAACTTCATAATTTTGATAAATGTACCATGGTAATTCAAGACATTAGCATTAGAGGGAACCAAATGGATGTATAACAGAAACCTTTGTTATTATCTTTTCAACTTTTCTACAAAAAAGAAATTATTAAAAAGAAAAGCTTATTAAAGAACTTCAATGAAGTAAAAGGACACTCCCCCTACCACACATATATTATGCAGAAAACTTAGCTTAAGCTTCGTAGACTTTCTGTTAAAAGAGCAACCTTAGTCTGTACCAAACCATAATTATACTGAATAGGGTTGTATGGATAGTGTTATATAAGGAAGAATTTATTGTACACTATTCAAATAAATGATAGAGATTGACTCAGCCACCCTAAGAAATTATTTGAAAATGCTACAGGGCTTTTGAACACAAAGCTGACATAGTAGGAAAATACTATGAAGGAGACTGTTCAGTGAGATGAAGTCATCTATACTTGCAAATGGCATCCAAAGCATTCAGCATAGGGGGATTATCTTTCTTGATGATCACACTTGAAAGGATAGTTTCTAGGTCCTTGAGAAAGATGGGTGGGCTGTCAACCTCACAAGAGTCTGGGAAAAATTATATCTTCCAGAGATCTGCAAAATAATTGGAAATTATGAGCTATCCAAAGTAAATGCACTAGTAAAAGCAAAGCTAGGGAATTATAAAGTTTGCTAAAATTATATGCTGGATAAAGAGTTAATTTAAAATGTCATATTTTGTATACCAAGGAAAATGATTTGAAAAATAATATTTAAGTTATCTTCATGCAAGAGAGCTATTTAGCAAAAATGTAGCTTTATAATCTATTGACAAAATATTAGGATAAATAAATAAATTTAATAGATTATGCAAGAATCAATTATATATCTCTAAGCTATTAAGAATAAACTAGACAATTACATTTGAAAAATCATGATGAAATGGACATTTATATAAAATTCAAAGATTTCAGAGTAATTTAAATTTGTAAAATATGCTTTCATTGAATTTTCTGAAACATAGGATAGATCATCTAGCTTTCCCTGAGTGAGAAACCACTATTTTGGAGAATACATAATTTATCTGTGGAAACTGTCAGACCTTGACTCTCCTATATGATTTCAGCTTCAATTCATTCTTCTAATAGCATTCTAAAGCGATCACTTATCCAGATATGTGTAGCAATATTAACTGCTATGCACTGAGTGAGCAATGTTTTTGCCTCTTCAGTAATTACATATCAGATGTCTGGATTCTAGAAACAAGATTTCAGTTCCAAATAACCTCAATGAAATGTTGACTATAATTCATTTTGTATATTATATATATATATATATATTCTTGTTCTATTTCTTCATGCGATTTATTATATCTTAAAACTGATGTCAAGAAAGATAACAGAAGCTAATAGATAAAACAGAGTAGAATTGATCAAACATTAGGTAAATTATCGTTATAAAGAATAAGAATTTAATAATTTTTTGCTCATATTTATAAAAATGTTACTTTAATTTTTTGATCTGGGCAGATCAAAGATTTTTGGAAATTTAAATTTAAAGAGAATATAATTTCAACTTAGTGGGTCAAATATACAAAGCTGTTGTGAGCTTGAATTCAATCCTGACAAGGTTGAAAGTCTTACATTGTACCTTCTTTAAATTATAGTTAATCCGCTTTCCTCCCATGGTACACTTCTATAGACTAATTTATATAAGATTACTAATTCAAATATTCTACCCCTAATTATGATTGTACTATTTACATTTAATACATGTGATTCTGAGGAAACATTTAAAATGTTTAATTCAATGTGAACTTTGTGAATATTTGTATAAAGGATAGGGAAGCAGACACATGCCAAAAAGACTAAATATAATACTATTATAAATTCTAATATCAGGGCTCACAATTACTGAAATTTTACCTGTCTATTTTCCTTTGCCTGTGAATAATAGCTCTAGTTAACCTACTGGAATACCAAATATTCTTTACCCCCAGTGATAAGGCCCCAGTTTTCAAATCCCAGTCATCAATTGGTTATTTTCTTCCCCAGTATAATTTATAGATGAATATTCACTTTTTTTACAAAAAGTATTTTGTCTTATCATAGAATGTGTTTGATATTTTCCAGTGTATCTCTGTGTCTAATACATTCAAATTTATTATTACAGGAAGTACATTCCAACAATCCAGCCCAGAGAAGCATACAACAAAGTATTCCCATTAAAACTTGCTCTTGTGTCTAATACAAGCTGAAGAGCATCTGAATTCTATCTGCCAAGGTGGTACTGACCTTTCAGCCTCACATGAATGAATACTGGGATAACAAGAGTCCATCTATATCTCTCAAGACAACTGTCCCTCACACAAGACTTTTTGATACTCTCAAATTTAATTCTATGTTTTAGAATTTAAAATGACAAAAAGCTTTCTCTAACATTGCTAAAAATATAATCAATGTACATTACTAAGTCTGTAATGTTAGGTGTTTGGACTCCTAGCGTCCATACCTGCAACATCTACTTTGCAATTCATGTATTGGGCAAAGAAATACATTATGCTAAGAAAAATGAAAGTGTGTTTGCTTTACATTTCTATTACAGAAGGTTTTTTTATTTCACTGAGCTTTACAATTTTACTTTTTTGTCCTTATCAAATTGAAATCTCCATTTTCTGAAAGAGGCATGTTCATGTCAATAACTATTTTTTCTGGCACTAGAGATTAAACCCAAGGCCTTAACCATGCTAAGCAAGTGTCTATAATTGATGTACACTCACAGCACCCCTAATTTTTACTTTGGTTTGACTCAAGACCTTAATGAGTTGCACAAGATGACTTCCAACTTGTCGTACTCCTGCCTCAGCCTCTAGAATGGTTAGAATTACAGGCCATCATATTAGGCCATATTAAAAATTCTTAAACATTTAATTTGTGTGCAAGAACAATGACAAAGTTTACAGTGGTAAGGTAATTGATGGCGTTATTTGAACTTCTCTCTGTTTGCTATTTATTTATCTTCTATTTTGCTCTTTTTACATACATACAATACACACATATATAGTATTTTGATTTTCTCATATAAAAGTATGTGATATGTGAGCTTGTGTGTGTAATTTATTTCATTTAATATTATTTTCTCAAGTTGCATACATTTATCTATAAATACCTCAAAGTTATCTCTTTATGGCAGAGTAACATATGCAATTCATTTCATTTATACTACTAGTTCCTCTTAGTTCATTACAAAGAAAACATTGTGCTAATTATCTGTTTCTTCCTTGTAAGAACCTTTTTTCTTTTGTCTCTCAGTAACTACTTTGAAGATACTTATATAGAGTATATTAACTCTTGTCATTCTCTTACTATTTTATTTTGAAACTTTTTTTATTTTTCCATAAAAGAAAGAGGACAAATGGAAATATCAAAAATGCTGTCACATTTTTAAATGTTTCATAAGTCTACAATTTTATAGCAGCTCTCCTGTAACTCTCCATCTTCTTGTACTCTGTCCTCTCTCATTCTTTCCTTTTTAGAAAGATTATAATATTCAGAAACAAATAGCAAAAATGGTCTCTAATAGCTATCACATCATCTTCTCAATAGCAACATCCATTTAAGGTATACATTTATTGAAGTTTTTCCACTCGAGGCTACTGTTCTGGCTTCCCTGTGTGATGAATCCTTTTAGATGATACCATGCCCGCAATTATCATTAGAAGGTGCCAACAGCAATATCCCTTACAACATAATTACCTTTTGTATCTGTAAGCATGGCTGGCAAGTTTCTGTAATTAAAAAGAGCCATTTAAGCAACTCCAGAAAACTACAAACTTTATCTGAACGTAGGACTTTCAACAGATTCTTAAACATTGAAATCATTCTCAATTTCTGTTTGATACTATACTACTGAGTCTTTTTTATGAAGATTACAAACACTTATAAGAAGATAACCCTTAGATTATTTCTCCCATTTTAGCGACTTTATCTAGCATTTTCATTGTAGTTTGGAAATGGCAGCTCAACGTCATATGAAAGTTAATTTATCTTATTTTCTTTGTCAAATATATTTCTATTTCATCCTTGGCATTCTTTGAATGCAGCTTGAAACTCAAAGAGAAGTTTCGGGTTTTGTAAAATCAGTGTTCCTGCATAATGCCTAA